GCCAGGGGGGACAAAGAACAAGCCTTGTGGGCTGGGCTAGCCTGAGTCTCTCTCCCCAGGTGAAGGCCATTCACATTTACCCAAGGTGCCTCTTCAAATCCAAGGCCTCCTCTGACTGGATGTGGTAGCATGGGCCTGGAAGTCCAGGGCTCTGGCTAGCTTGGTCTAGGAGACAGTGTCTCAATTTTTAAAACTTGAGAGTCTACTTGCTTCATCAGCATACACACTAAACTTGGAAAGATGCTGAGATTAGCATGCGCCTGTACAGGGAAGAAATGCAAATCCATGAAGTGTTCTACATTGTGTGTGTGGTATATGTGCGTTTGTATCTGGGGGTGACCATGCATGCGGAGACCGGAGAAGGACATCAGGTGTCCTGCTCTATCACCCCCTCCTTATGTTCTGAGTCTGGAGCTAGGCCAGTGGCCGACAAGTCCCAGTGATCCTCTGGTCTGCCCCTCACAGTGTTGGGGTTTTAGGGGGGTGTCTACAGCTGAGGATTTGAACTCAGATCCTTGTGTTTGCACAACAGGCATCTTTACCCAATGAACCATCTCCCAGTCCTAAATGTTACTTTAAGAAGGAAGGAAGGAAGGAAGGAAGGAAGGAAGAAGGAAGCAGTGGCACACGCCTTAAATCCCAGCACTCAGGAGGCAGAGGTAGGAGGCTCTCTATGAATTTAAGGCCAGCCTGATCTAGACGGTGAATTCTAGGCCATTCAAAGCTATAGTGAGGCCCCATCTTAAAAAAAAAAAAATCAATCAAGTCAGATGGTGGTGGCACAGGCCTTTAATCCCAACACTAGGAGGCAGAGGCAGGCGGATCTCTGTGAGTCTGGGGCTAGCCTGGTCTACAAAGCAAGTTTCAGGAAAGCCAGAGCTGTTATACAGAGAAACACTGTTTCAAAACAAACAAACAAACAAAACCAACCAAGCAATCATCTGATCAATAAATAAAGTTAAAAAGAAGGGCTAGGGTGATAAATCAGTGGGTAGAGAGCTTGCCACACAAGCATGAGGATCCGAGTTCCATCCTTAGGTCCCGTAAAAAGGTAGGTGTGGTGGGACACGGCTGGAACCCTAATGCAGGGAAGGCAGAGGCAGGCGGAACCCTAGGACTCGTGGACCTGCCATCTGGCTTACTTAGTGAGTTCCAGGTCAGTAGAGACCTTGTCTAAAAAACAAAACAAAACAAAACAAGGGGGATAGCTGCTGAGGCATTGCGACCTCTGGCCTCTGCATACACATGCATGCATAAAGACATGCACATACCTGTACATAAAGAAGAAGCCTGACAGATGTGCCCCCACCACTGTCTAACTACCCATGATGTCAGGAGACAAAGCTGCCCCCTCTAAACATCCAGGCAAAAAACAGCTGTAAGGTGACTTCAGGCTAGTCCTCGAGGTTCAGGGAGCCTTGGGGAGGACTGGCAGGCCCATACTGCATCCACCCCCACCCCCCTACAAACACACACACACACCTACACACACGCCACCCACACACTTACACCCACCTACACACACGCCTACACACACCACACCTACAAACACCCACCCATCCACACCCACCCACCTACACACACAAACACACCTACACACACCTATAAACACCCACACTCCCCCACACATCTACACACACACACACACACACACACACACACACACGCACATGGTACAACGTACCACCAGAAGTCATCGGTTGGGTGGTATCCACAGGGGATGAGAAATTACAACCGGCCTGTGATTTACAGAGGATGTAAAATACTACTCGACACAGGGAGTTCTTTTGAGTAAGGATTTTATAGTTTCTATAAAAATGATGCACACCTGTTATAAAATATAATTGTGAAAATTCCAGCACGGAACCAAGTATCCTCCAACTCCAGCCCCGGAGCCTTTGATGCTGCTGTGCTGTGTGCCCTGCATCTCCGCGGAGATGGACAGGCAGAGGAGCGGTCACGGATGGAGCCACAATGACACGCCAGTGTCAGGGAATATCATGTTAAGGCGTGTTACTTTTGTTTATGTTGCTTTCGCTTAACTCTGTGAAGTTGTGTTACTTTGCCTGTCTAGAACGCCCGATGGTCTAATAAAGATCTGAATGGCCAATAACGAGGCAGGAGAAAGGATGGGTGGGGTGGGCAGGCAGAGAGAACATACAAGAGAAATCTGGGGAAAAGAAGTAGTCAGAGAAGGAGGAGGACTTCAGAGCCTAGCCATCCAGTTGCACAGCAATCCAAGGAGTAAGAGTAAGATTTACAGAAGTAAGAGAATGAGAAAAGCCCAGAGGCAAAGGTAGATGGGGGTAATATAAGCTAAGGAAAGTTGGCAAGAAACAAGCCAGGCTACGGCCAAGCATTTCTAATTAATAAGCCTCTGTGTGATTTATTTGGGAGCTGGGTGGCGGACCCCCCCAAACCATCAGACTACTACACGTCGGAATGTCCACACTCAGCTGCTCTTGACTGTTAGGTACACCACTGTTCATTTTGTCATTTGCTAGCAGGATGCATCAAAGACTTGGGAGACAACAGAACTCTGGGTGGTGCAGCAATGGCAATATATGCCTGAATCCCAGCACTTGGGAGACTGAAGCAGAGTTCAAGGCCAGCCTTGGCTAGAGAGCCTCTCTCAGATAACAAAAGGGCCAAGGAGATGGCTCAGTCATCAGCGTGCTTGCCATGCAGGCATGAGGACCTGCGTTGGATCTTAGAACCCTATTAAAACAAACAAATGCGGGTAGTGGTGGCGCATGCTTTTAATCCCAGCACTTGAGAGGCAGAGGCAGGAGGATCTCTGTGAGTTCGAGGCCAATCTGGTCTACAGAGTGAGTTCCAGGACAGTTCCAAAACTACCCAGAGAAATCTTGTCTCAAAAAGCCAAAAGAAAAAAACAAAAAGCAAAACAAACAAACAAACACCCCCCCCACACACAAAACTGGGCATGTTTGCATATGTGTCTGTAACTGTAGACCTGCAGGAGCTGGAGACGTGAATCACTGGGGTTTGCTGGCCACCAAGGGAGGAAGGCGGAGATTAATGAGGCAAGACACCGGATGTCTTCCTCTGGCCTCTACATACATGAATACAGGCACACGCACGCACGCACGCACACACACACACACACACACAGGTGGATGTGAGGAGCAGCACTGTGGTCGTCCTCTGACCTTCACGTTAACCCATGTGCACACTGGCCCATGCACACACACAAATGTCAAAAGGACACTGTATGACCTCACAACAGAATTAACGCTAGTGTCGTAAGACAGCCAAGTCCCCAGCATTCAAACCTCTCCCAGGGCCCCTTCTGGACAAGACGCACAGGACCAGCCTCTTCATGTCCCTTCTGCTCAGCTCTAGAGAGTTGTTCGACACATTTCCCTTGGCAGGATGAGTAGCAGGCAGGGGTCTGCTTCCCTGAGCTCAGACTCTGAGTACTTTGGGGGCAAGCCAGTCCAAGAGAGATGCTATGTCTTCCGTGTGTCTAATTTCCGAGGATGACCATGTGGCCAAGTGATGTCCCTTTATTATTTTGTTTTCTGGGACAGGGTTTCTCTGTGTAGCCCTGGCTATCCTAGAACACGCTCTGTAGACCAGGCTGGCCTCAAACTCAGAGCTCTCGAGTGCAGTACTGAGATTAAAAGTGTGTGCCAACACAGCCTGGCAATGTCCCTTCATACTGCCCTTGGTGACTGATGCCTGTCTGGAGCAGAGATTTCTAGAAGACTTCAGACATCACTGTTTGCTGCTAACTTTGGTGACTTCTTGTCTGCGGCACCAACAGTATCATGTTTGTTAGGCCGTTTTTTGTTTGTTTGTTTGTTTCCTATGCTTGTCAGAACTAAGGAGGGCCTAATGTAACCGGTTCCTTTACCAAATAAGGCTGCTGGCTGTTGGCTTGCACTGTGCATGCTTTCCTGCTAGGTTTGTCTGAGGCAGCCACTGTGGTGCCTCCCACATTCTACAGCAGCTCTCTGCATTCTGCAGATACTCAGGCTCCCTTGCCCTTTCCCTGCCTTGGCCAGGACCCTGGTTCTTTCGCTGAGACACTAGTGTTAGGACGCAGACATGGGGCATCATGGTTCCCAAGTCCAGGAAACATTGTGTGGACCTAATGTATGCATGTGCCTCCCCCACCCCCCTCACCCAGCAGCCTCCCACTTAGAGACTGGGTCTCACGTGGCTTATGCTGGCCTTGAACTTCGAGGATGGCCTTGAATTTTTGACCTTTTTGCCTTTGCTTTCCTAGTGCTGGAATTGCAGCCACGTACCATGCCTGTTTATGTGATGTTGGGGATGGAAGGCAGGCCTTCGTGCACACCAGGTTAGCACTCTACCAACTGAGCCACTGCCCTAGTCTCAGTGCCTATCCTGCCTGCTCAGCTTACTGTGGTTAGGGTCCTCCATACCCAGGCTCTTCTGAGTGCTTCGTAGTCAAAATGCTACAGGGTTAACCATGCTGTGCTCAGGTACCCACTTTATTTACTGATTTGTTTCTACAGTGGATGGCTGTGTAGCCTCCTGCACCCGTTCCTGATTTTACTCATTCAGTGGGGGTGCTATGGCCAGGGGCTGTGCCCCATCAGCTCAGAATTCTTCATTTTTCCAGACAGGGTTTCTCTGTGTAGCCCTGGCTGTCCTGGAACTCACTCCGTAGATCAAGATGGCCTTGAACTCACAGAGATCAGCCTGCTCCTGCCTCCCGAGTGTTACCATGCCTGGCTAGCTCAAAATTCTCTGATGTGCTGTCCAGGTCTGTGGCAAGGATTCACTGCAGGCGACACTCTGCAGCTCTCCTGCCCTGCAGCTCACACACACATTCTGCACTCCCGTCAGTGAGCTTGGTAATTATGACCAAGGCTATGGTGACACTGTTGAGCTATAAAACCAAAGCCGACGGGTGACGGCACACCAAATGTGCAGTGTGAGCCATCACTGCTGACCTACGCTGTGTGGCTGGACTCAGCGAGTATGTGGAAACAAGCAGACCTTGGGGGTACCTGACCGTGGGTTTAATAACAAAGAGCCCTTCCGTGCAACACATCCATTGAGACCAACATGAACATGCAGAGTCCTCGTCCTCTCCCTGGTGGTTTTGTGTTTGTTTTTGAGAAAGGGTTTCTCTATGTAGTCCTACCTGTCCTGGAATTCACCATGTAGATCAGGCTGGTCTTGAACTCAGAGATTCACATGCCTCTGCTTCTTGAGTGCTAAAGGTGTATGCCACCACACCTGCACCCCTAACCCCCACTCTCACCACCTTTCACCAATCAGACAGAAGCCAGGCAAGCAGTCTGGGCTAGCCCTTCTCCGACAGCTCCAGAAGACACAGACCTAAGGGCACTTGAGCCTGGTGGCATCTGGCACTGGTATTTCGCTGGTGTCTTTGGACCCTGCACATGGCAAAAGCCCTCAGTCAGGCGCCTCAGCATGAAGGCGCCTGGATGTTCAAACACCCACAGCTCAGCACTGCTCACTGCACCCACGACAGGTCACCGTTCGGCACCTGGGGTCTCGAGCCAGCACTGGTAGACACGACTCACGGGGCTAACAGGCTGCGGAAGTGGAAAAGTAATTGGCACTAGCCTAGGTTCTACGGCACTGCTGGTGTGCCCTGTGGAGGCGCACAGTGAGTTCCTGAAAGAAAACCGGCTCAGAACGACCAGAAGACAACCCTCAGCATAAAGATACCCGCTGCTATACCAGAAAAAGGAGGGAGTTCAGTTGACGAGTTCCACCGAGCCTGGTGAACAGGGTTCAATCTCTGGGACCCACATATGTAAGGAGAGTAATGACCCCTGTAAGTTGTCCTTACACACACACACACACACACACACACACACACACACACACACACACACCGGACAGCGCTCCCCTAAATAAATAATATGCAAAATATGCAATTTAAAAATAAGTACTGTGCTGGGGACATGGTTCAGGTGGTGGGGTGTTTGCTGAGCATACAGGGAGCCCTGGGATCCATCCCCTAACACATGAACCAGGTGCAATGTGTACACCCCTAATCCCGGCTGTAGACTTGAAGGCAGAAGAATCAGGAGTTCAAGGTCATCCTTGGCTATGTAGGGAGTTTGAGTCCAGCTTGGGCTACAGGAGACCAAGCCTTAAAACACACAAAACAAGAAGTCAAGTATGTCAAAAGTCAAACAGTTTCCCACTTCCTACTTTGTATTCCAGTTTGGTTCAAAGAAAAGAACAGAGATGAAGGGAAACGAGCTGGCGTGCGTGCATCTGTGAGCACGAAAGGCGGACATTCCGACGTCAATGGTTTCACTGTCAGTTCTAGTATGAAGACTCGGGTCTGTGACAGGCTGAGCCAGTGTAGAAAGCTGTCCCAGGCTCTGTGGTGTGACGGCCACACTGGCCAGGACATCACATCGGAGTTCGGCCCTGAGGGGATCCTGTGACACACACAGTTGGAAAAATAAGACCACTGTCTGAGGGAAACTGAGGACAGCTGAGGAAGCATTTTGGGGTGCTCTCCAGTCCCCTTGGGGACTCCCTCCACTGAGCAGCACAGGTGAGCCTCGGGTCTCCTGGCTCTGTGGGCAGAAGGGCTCAGATCTGCTTCAGGCACCTGGGGAGCCGGCCCTGTGGTTTTTTTCTCAGCATTTGTCCTTGGCCTCCGGCTTCTCGTCCATCACATCTCTGAAGCCCAGCTTCTCCAGAGGCTCTGGGGCCATCAGCTGCCTGGAAGAGAAAGACGTTACCATGGGACCATGCTCTTATGTTCACTCATCTACCCAGCCTTCCGCACCCCCACAGAGAACAGGGTCCTCCCCACAGCGCGAGGAGCCCACAGGCCATGTGAGCCCCAATGTCCCTTCTACCACACGGTCAGCCCAAGTTCTCAAAGGCAGGGGCTGAGGACGAGGGTGAAGGCAGACAGTACATGACCCCAGGGGAGTGAGCAGAGCCTGGGAGAGCCAAGGCTTGGTACGTGTCCCCAGAATTGAGAAGGACCAGGGGTGGGAAGAGCAGGGCTGACCAGTGAGCTCCAGGCTGGCGAGATTCTGTCTCCAAAAGTGGGATGGGTGGCCTCTGACAAACAAAACCCAGGGCTGACACTCACACGCACAAAATGCATACACATGGAGGCAAAGGAATGCTTCCAATGTGCCTCTGTCTCCTAATGGAACCCACTTGGAAAGATGTTTGCAGCGCTTCAGCCCTGACTGCCTGTCCCAGCCCCACTCACTCCAGACACACTGTGTAGGATTTTCACATCCTCCTGTAACCTTTGCCTCTCTGGAGTGGGGACAGGAGGTCAAGGCTGGGCTGCACAGGCCAGCCCCTGAGGTTACTCAAGCCCATGAGGGCTATTTTAATTTAATTTTTATTTATTTTATTTTATCTTTGTTTTTTGAGACAGGGTTTCTCTGTGTTGTTCTGACTGTCCTGAAACTTGCTCTATAGATGAGGCTGACCTTAATCTCACAGAGATCCGACTGCCTCTGTCTCCCTAGTGCCGTGATTAAAGGTGTCATTACTGCCCAGTGTTTAATTTTTAATTGCATTTATTTACGTATTTGTGCGCACACGCTAAGTCAGCTTGAACTGTATGTTCGACAATTTCATTCCCAACTAGCCTAACAAAATAATAGAGCAGCCAAGCATGGTGTCATACACCTGATACACCCACCATCCTAACACTCAGGAGGCTGAGGCAGGAGGACTGCCAGAAGTTCTAGGCTAGCCTGTGTTATTAGACCTTGTCTAGACAATTAAAAAAAAAAAATCCAAACCCACCAACCACACAACGAAACCAAAAGAATCTTTCCACCACCAGACAAAACCAGAAGCATCTTTGTTTGCCTGCATTGCCTGGCTCAGGCCCCTGTAAGTCACAGAAGTAGGTGGGCCCTTCCTTCTGGGCTCTGAGGCACCCGTTCTACACAGTGCTAAGTGTGGCACAGATGCATGGGGACTAGGAGGTCCAAAACTAGTTCATCCCACTGACAACAGGCAAGAAGTCCCTCTGCTGGTCCTGCCCAGAAGCCTTGCCCATAGACCAGTCGCTTCCTCAGGGGACCCCAAACCAACCACATCCTCAGAACAATCATAGGTAGGAGCCACTGTGATCTGTGCCAGGTGTGAGAGTCAAAACAAGTCTGCTCAACTTTTTTCTATTTTTGGCAGAGAGGATACTGTAGGTAGAATCCGGGGCCACACAGACTCTGAAATGTATTACTACTGAGCCACACCCCAGCCCCTCACTGGGGGATCTAGGCACGTGCTCTACCACTGAGCCACACCCCAGCCCCTCACCGGGGGATTCTAGGCAGGTGCTCTACCACTGAGCTATATCCTCAGCCCTGTTTTTTTTCTCATTATTTTGAGATAGGATCTTAATAAATTTCCCAGATTTTTTTTTTAAACGTTTGACTTTATTTTTGTAAGATTTATTTATTATGTATACAGTGTTCTGGCATGTATGCCTATGCACCAGAAGAGGGCACCAAATCCCATTATAGACTATTGTGAGCCACCATGTGGTTGCTGGGAATTAAACTCAGGACCTCTGGAAAAGCAGCCAGTGCTCTTAACCTCTGAGCCATCTCTCCAGCTTGCCCAGATGGTTCTTGAACTCATTCTCTAGCCCAGGCTGACCTCACAACTCTCCATCCTCCTGCCTCAGCCTCTTGGGCCAAGGGGATGGCAGACCTAAGCTACAGGCCCCAGTCTTGCTCTCACTTGCTGTATTCGCCCAGCTTGTCCGTGAAAACCTCTCCTTCTGCAGACACCAAGACACAGGGGCTGAGCCTAGGGAAGGCAGGAACCTGCTCACATCCTTGTCCCTAGGCAGGCGTCGCTCTGTCCCTCTTCTAAAGCTCAGCAGAGCCAAGAAGAAATTCTTGGCCACCTTCTGAGGCTACAGGCAGTCACCCTGAGGCTCCGTGGGAGCCATGTGCCACCTGGAAGCAGTGAGATCAGGACAGACTCAAGCACTGTTTGCAGTGGCAGGACAAGGCCTTACAGTTAGTCATCCCCACTGCTGGAGTCGAAACCTCACACTGTAACCCCCACATGCCTACACCTCATGGACTTGTCTGGGTTTGTTGACCAAAGAAAGCAGGCTTAAGTGGAGCACTGGCATCTCGCATCTTGAGAGACTGAGGTGCCTGAATTCCTGTGTGTGCAACTGCAACAGACCCCTCCCCCACGCAGTGACACACTACCTGCTTCTTCATGTTCAGGGCTAGAATGGCTCTCATTCTAATGCAAAGCTCCACGGATCGCTATTTTTGTTCTGTTTAAACTTGGGGGAGCGCAGGCATCGCCATCCATCACCGCTTAAGTCTCCTATTGTGCCCGTTACATTCCAAACAGCTTTCAAGGGAAGGGACGAGGCAGTGCATGTTCTTACGGGCTGAGAACATGAAAGGCATGAAAACCTGTCGGCTCAGTCAGCGCTGCTGTGATGGATGATTCTGAGAGCTTAATGAGAGGGACAAAGCTCCGAAGAATGGGGCCGTGGACGGGGCTGTCACTCACAAAGGGGTTCCCAGGACAGCTTGGCAGCCTCGGTGCCACCTCACCTGCTAAGCATTGACTTCTTCCAGCAAACATCAGCCACTGTGATGTGGCTGAGAAGATAAAACAGACCTGAGTTCTTTCCCCAGAACCCTCATAAAGAAAGCTGGGTGTGCTGGTATGTTTACAATCCCAGCACTGGCAGGCAGGAATGGGAAGATCCCTTGGCTTGCCTGTGGCCAGCCTAACCTCATTAGTAAACTCCAGGACAGCAAGAGACCTTGTCTCAAAAAACACAGTGGGAACTGGGGAGATGGTCAGCATCTCTTGCTTGCTGTCATTCAGAGGGCCAGGGCTCAGCTCCCAGCACCCATATGGTGGTTCACAACACCCTACACACACCGAGGGATCAGAACTCAGGTCCGAATGTGATGGTGGTACTCACCTTTGCATCCTGCACATTAAATACTCTTTAGATTCATTTCTGCACAAAGCATTTTCAAAATTCTTGTCACGGAGACACTTCATGAATTTTTCTTTAAAGCTTTTACATTCACCTAGGAAAAAAAGGAAGACAGTGTCCTGTTTGCAAAGAGAAGACTCGACCTGCTCACTTGGCGGCCTTGGGGCAGTGCTATGGTTTCCATCAAAATTTGTTTCCTTCCTGGGCTCTGGATGTGGGATAGAGTGCATGCTTGGCATACAGTCCCCTGGGTTCAATCCTCATCACTTCAAAACAAAAAACAAAACAAGGGGTGAAGAGATGGCTCACTCGTTATGAACACCGGCTGTTCTTGTACAGGAAATGAGTTTGGTTCACCAACGGTACTGCACACACATCATGTATACCCTCAGATGCACACACCCCTACTCAGATGCACACACATCCACTCTGATGCACACACATATACTCAGATGCACACGCATCCATTCTGATGCACACGTATATACTCAGATGCACATGCATCCACTCTGATGCACACGTATATACTCAGATGCACACGCATCCACTCTGATACACACGCACATACTCAGATGCACACGCATCCACTATGATGCACACGCATATACTCAGATGCACACGCATCCACTCTCATATACTCAGATGCACACACATTCACTCTGATGCACACACATAGACTCAGATGCACACACATACACATAAAGTTAAAATTTTCAAATAAAATTTTAAAAATGGAAAATTTCCCAAAGAAATGTTGGTAAAGAAATAATCTAAGGAGATTAAATGACTCAGTGGGCAAAGGTACTTGCTACCAAGACCAGCAACATGAGTTTGATCTCCAATACTCATGTGGTAGAAAGAGACACCCCCCACACTTCCACAAGTTATGCTTTGGCCACATGAGTACCATGGCACACCCTCAAACACACTAAATAATAAATATGATTTAAAAATACAATAATCTCTAAAGCTGTCTCTGGAAGATCATAGTGTCAGCAACATTTCTTAGGGTTGTTTCTGTTTGTGGTAGGTTTAGTTTTTTTTTTTTTTTTGGTTTGTCTTTCTTTCTTTTTTAAGAGCTGAAGACTGAATTCAGGGCTTCCGTTTCTGTGCATGCTAGGCCCCAGTTCATGAGACTATCCCCAACCCTCTCTGGGTTGTTTATGGTTTTGTTCCTTCACAGGCTCCAGTTTTCCAAAAGGACATTATCTGTAGACTTCAGAACTGTGAATAGCAATCCTCTGGGCAGGAGTCACAGCTCAGAGGTGGAGCACTTGCCAAGTCCGGGTTCCAGCCTCAATATTAGACATCAAACGCTTTTTGAAAATATTTCTTTGCCTAATTTTCACTGAAGACCTAGAGCCTCAAGCTGGGGAGTGAGGGTGGCTCCTGGGCTGGCAAGAGAGAAACCTAACATCGAGACCCGGAAGCAATCCGGGAGTCCCGTCACCATCCTGGTTACATCGGATCCAAGTCTGCGCTCTCAGTTGGAAGGACCATGCCATGGCAGGTGGCTCTCTGACTCAGTTTCCCTGCCTGCACCCACACAGGGCTCTGAGCATGCCCAACCCCACAATCTGAGAGGTGGCTGGAGTCAAACTGCTCTGCACTCCAAGGTCCAGTACTTCAGGCTCCACCCACCAGATCTAGCATCCCAGGTCCTGGTACCCAAATCCAACAGACCTGACCCCGCCACTCAGATCTATCACCCCACATGCTATCTCTCAGATCCAGCACCCCACACCCTGGCCCTCAGTACCCCATTCTCTGTCGTGCACATCGAACTCCTCAGACAGTGCACCTAAAGTCCAGCACCTCTGACCCTAGCACCCAGATCTAGCATCCCAGGCCCTGCCATCCGGATCCAGTACCCCTGAACCTGCCATCTATCACAGAGAAACAGCACTTCAGACTCTGCCACCCAGACTGAGTGCCCAGAGCCTAAATCCAGATCCAGCACCCCTAACCCTGTCACCCAATCCCAGCGACGCTGACCCTGCTATCCAGAACCAGTATCCCAGACCCTGCCATCCACATCCAATTCTCCTGTCTCTGTCACCTGTCACCGAGAAACAGCATTCCAGACCCTGCTCCTCAGACTCAGCACCCCAGACGCTGCCACCGAGACTGAGTACCCCTAACCCTGCCACCCAATCCCGGGCCACCGGCAGCCTGAGCCTCGCCTCGCCTCACCGAAGTGGTCCAACGGGAAGCTTCCTTTGTCTGGTGGCCGCGGCTGGAAGCTTTTGGTCCCGAAGTTCATTGCGGTCGACATGACGGCGGAATCGAGAGCAGTGCGCAGCGGCAACGCAGGGCGGACGGCCGAGCACCGAGCAGGCCCGGGAAGTGCCGAGCTAGTCGAGCGGTGGGCCTGCCCCTCCCCACCCTGCCCCGCTCCTCCCGTCTAGGCCCCGCCCCCGCTGTGCTCTGATAGGGCGCAGTGGTGGCCGCAATCAGAAGCTTTTCAGTCCTCCTTTCTGCAAAAGGCCAGCCAGCTTTTGGTACCAAAGAGCGAACATGGCTGGATAGGTGCAGCCCTTTGCCCGAGGACACCAGTTTGTGCCCCGGGGTCTTCATCCCATCCAGTTGTCTGCCAGGAACTGAGTTTCTCATATGCTCAGAGGGTCTAATCAAGGCAAGAAGCACACTAAAGGAGAGAGTGGCTAACTTCTTGTGGGTGTTGCGACACAGTGCCACAAACGGGTTTTACAGTCAGAAATTAAGGCAGGGTATAGTGCTTCAAACCTGTAGTCCCAACTGGGGAGGCTGAGGCAGGAGGATTGCCTGACTTTTAGGCAAACCTGGTCTTCACAGCAAGACTCATTCTCACAGAACAAAACTGCCGCAAAGGGCATCTCCTATGGTTCAAGAGACTAGACATCTGAGCCTAAGGTGTGGGCCATTAGCCCCATTGTGGGCTGCTGTCCTGGCAGCCTGCTCCAGGGAGCCCAGGTGCCCCCCTCCCCCCCGGATGTTCTGTCAATCTTGGGGAATTCTGGATTGCTAGAAGCAATGCTCCTCCTGTGCCCCCACTTCTGGTGGCGTTCTCACCATGTGTCTGTGTCCAAGCACTCCTTATGTGAGGCCACGGCCACATTGGAGTAGGGCCATCCCACTAAATTTTTTTCTCTTTATTTCTTTTCTTTTTGTTTTCCATTTGTATTTTTGAGACAGGGTTTCTCTGCATAGCCTTGGCTGTCCTGGAACTCTCTCTGTAGACCAGGCTGGCCTCAAATTCAGAGAGCTGCCTGTCTCTGCCTCTTGAGTGCTGGGATTAAAAGTGTTCACCACCATGCTCACTCATCGGAACAATTTCAGCCTCAGCTGCTCAAAATCTGCCGTGACATTATTTCAGATGAGGCCATCAGGTCCTGGGGGGTGCTGTGCCATGGGGATTTGGAAGGAATGTTCCGTGGTAACGGGATGCAGTCCACTGACTTGCTACGGCAACAACACCTGTCCCCAGAACCCTGCTTTCCAGCTGGGGACAGAGAAGCCCACTTGCTCCCTGCCTCCCAACACTGGCTGTGATTGTGGGGTGCTGTCTATCATTCCATCTCAACCACAGATGGTCTCTATGTCACACAGTCATCCCGACCCTGGCAATGAGCAACAATGGGCTCAGAGCAGCCCCTCGGGCCGCTGTCCTCTACAATCCTCTGACGGACCCCAACATCCCTAATAATTCCCAGGGACTGCTGAGAGGTGGTTGGCCAACAGATCTTAAGCCTCACCCCAGCGCCCACTCTCTTTTACCTTGCTGGACCGCCCCCCCCTCCATAGCCATCCATTGGTCTCCTTGCTGAGTCTCATGCTGGCTTCCTGTGTGGGAGTTTGGATTTAGCTTCCAGTGTCCAGACCTATAGGCTGCCTTGCAGAAGGGTACCACCTCCTTAACCCAAACCTCCTAGTTCAGTTTACCTCTCAGGAAGGGGCCTGGGAAGATGGCTTAACAGGCAAGAGTACTTGCTTTATAAGCATGAAGACCTGAGTTCAAATCTCTAGAGCCCATAAAAAAAGAAAAGAAAGTCACCCGGCCTAAATCCCCAGCACTGTAAGGGATTGGGGTGTGCTGGCTGCCAGCCTACCTCCAGGGTCAGCAAACACCTTGTCACAAGGGGATAAGGTGAACAGGACGCCTGACATTCTCCTCTAGTTTCCACATGTGCATGGGGTACACACATACACACATATGCCACACACATTTGCACACATGTGCATACACACACACACACACACACACACACACACACACACACACGAGCGTGGCCAGGGAGACTCCAGAAGGAAAACTGTACTTTGTTCTTGTTATATTAACAACCCTTTCCCATCTTTCCCATGCCTGGAACCAGGGGCCACACACTGAGTTACTCAATTTTTTTTTTTTGAGCTGTGAAGAATAGTGACTTTTGTGACTCAGCAAGCAAGCAGCCCTTTCTTCTTAAAATGAAAGGATATTTCTGTCCCTGAGGTGGCAGGACCTCGGTCAGGCAGCCCAGAAATACCAAGAAAGCAGGCAGGGACTGGTGTCTGGGCCGTGACAGCAAGCTTTTAATCCGCATTTCTAGGAAACGGGTACTACCTTGTATGAGCTTTTTTGGTTGTTGTTTGTAGCTCTGGCTGGTCTCAAACTCACTGAGATCTGCCTCCTAAGTGCTGGCTTCCTAAGTGTTGTGATCAAAGGTGTGCACCACCACACCCAGCTGTTTAGCTGAGGGAAGTGTGTGTGTGTGTGTGTGTGTGTGTGTGTAGTTGGATACACCTGTGTGTGCACATGTGGCGGCCCGAGCAGGATGCTAAGCATCTTCTTCCGTATTGCTTTAAGGTAGGGTCTCTCTCTGAATTGGAAGCTCACCATTTTTTTGGCAAAGCTGGTTGGCTAACAAGCTCTCAAGATCCACTTGTCTGTGTGTCCTCCAGTCCTGGGGTTCCTGGCATGCACAGCCATGCCTGGCTTTTTTTTTTTTTTGAGACAGGGTTTCTCCGTAGCTTTTTTGGTTCCTGTCCTGGAACTAGCTCTTCTAGACCAAGCTGGCCTCGAACTCACAGAGATCCGCCTGCCTCTGCCTCCCGAGTGCTGGGATTAAAGGCGTGCACCACCACCGCCCGGTTGCATTCCTGGCTTTTTATGTGGATGCTAGCATTTCAAACTCAGACCCTCATGGTTGTGTATAGCAAGCACCTATACTTACTAAGCCATCTCCCCATCTTTAGAGACAGAATCTCTCACTGACCCTAAAGCATCCTAATTCAGGAGACTGGCTAGCCAACGAGCCAGTAAACCCCAGGGATCTGCTAGTCTTACTGGTCATCACTGGGAATGCTCAGGTGATAGGTTTTCCATAACCCCATAACAGGTTTCTCTGCCGACCCAGTAAGCCAGATCAAGCTGAATTAAAAAGCAAAAGACCAGGTATATTCGAGCAAAGAAACTCCCGGGTGAGTCCTCCAGCTGCCAGAGATCTGGCAGGGGAAGGGACAGGAGAGGAATCACATAGTCTGTCCGAAGGAGAGGGCTTGAATACTCTGTAAGTTCCAAATGCTGACTAGTCCTCCACAGACTGGGTTCGTTCCCAATCGTGGTAGGCGGGGTTTGAGAAGCTAGCAGCCTAGTGGGAGGAGCCACACCATGGGAAATGTGGAACTGGACTCATAGCTGTAATGGTTGTTCTGTCTCTTTAAGAGACAAGCCATGACCACTCCCTCCCCCATCCGCTGAGGCAGGCTGATCTTCAGCTTCCAGACTGAGCTCACTCTCTTTTCCATCTTCCTCTTGGAGAGGCAGCTTCGCTTCTGCCTCTCTCCCCACTTCTCTGCTTACCCCCTTCTCTGTCTCTTTCTCCTCTTCTCTCTCTCTCTCTCTGTCCCCTCCCCCTTCCCCTCCATAACGCCCTGAATAAATATTAAACCTCACTCTGCATGTCGTGTCTATCCATGTCTCTGTCTCCTGCCCGCCTGCCATGTGTCTCCCTGCCTGGGACCAGCCACTGCTTGGGGACCTGCAGCCATCTCTGCCTGGGACTGGCTGCCCCAGGGCCTGCTGTCTGCTGCCACATGGCCCACTACCACCATTTGGGACCTACAGCATTTCTGCTGCCTACTTCTGCTGGGGATCTTGCAGCATTTTTTAAAAAAATTATAAAACTAGCAGCCCCTCTGAGAGGGCAGGGTTTGGAGAGAGAATTGGGCTGAGCTGGAGAGCCAAATGAATATCATGTATCAAGCATTTGGCTTTCCTAAGGATGCTGGGGATCTAAACCCAGGTCACCACGCTTGCAACGGAAGTACTTTACCAAGGAAGCCATCTGTCCAGCCCTGAGATGTTTCTTTTTTATATATAATTTTCAGTTTACGTGTCTGAAAGGTGGTGACAGAACTCCCAGCTTTGACCTGATGTTGTACTACAGCAGCCCACTCAGGCTGACAACAGGAATGTGGCTGTGTCCTTGGACTGTGTTCTACACCTAGGTTCTCCCAGGTCACCCAGGCTTCCTCCCAAAGCTGGGTGGGAACTCCATCTCTTTATAACCTAGCCTGCTGAGAGCTCCAGCATCCCCCAAAGTGCCTCTAGAGCCAAGTGTGGGAAATACAGACCCCTCCAACCCTTCTGATAACAACACAACATTGTATTACATAAAGGACATATGATCGGGAGCATCTTGCGTGGCCATCTTTGGTGGATACTCAGGTCAAGGCCAGATGGAACCTGAACCAGGAATCAGAGCTCTGCAACCGTCAGCCTGGCCCCAAGTAAGTCTGATGAGAACAGACCCTCAGTGGATTGAGCAACCACGCTGGAGACAGTTGGCGCCACACCTTTGCAGGGTGTGGGGAAATTCCATAAAAACTTAAAAAGGGAACAGCCTGGGGCTGGAGATGTAGCTTAGTAAAACTAAGATTTAATCCCCAACACTGAAGAAAAAAAAAAAAGAAAAAGAACAGCTACAGGCATGATGGTACCTACCATGCCAGCCAGCACTCTTGGGAGGAGGAGTTAATGATCAACCCAAACTATACGTAGACTCTGTCTCAAAACCTTAGAAGTGGGATGTAATTCAAGGTGCCTATTTAACATATCACAACGGGCCTGACCACCAGGTTCTCCCAATATTCCTCAGTCCCTAGTCTCTACCTGTGACAGGGCATATAGCTGGCATGCCCTGCCCGCACCCCAAATTTCTCCAGCCTAGGGGTTGGGCTGCCCTTCTCTCAGCTGCCCTAATTTAGATAATCCAGCAATTTTGATGACCTGGTTCTTTTTCTTTGTTTTGCTTTTTTCTTTCTTTCTTTCTTTCTTTCTTTCTTTCTTTCTTTTTCCCTTGAGAC